GAAGACAGTTATGTGAAGAGAAGAATGGAAGCGCGCACATGACCTTGAGAAGGCTAGCTTTCCAAGCAAGAGCTAGGACGTGGGAGGCCTGTCAGTACCCATAAGATGACACCAGAGAGCAAAGTGTAATGCCAGAGGAGCAAATCTGTGGAAAGGGGTCACGGAGCAGCCACTACACACTGCCTTCTGTGTCAGATGGGGAGTAAGTCTTACTCTCTCCTGTCAGAGCTGCTGGGCATCAAACATCAGCTCCACCCTGGTGTCCCATCAATATCTTTAGATAATCATTATCTTTACAAAAATAACACCCGGTTGTTTGATTTACTAAAGAGCAGGGGAGATTGAACTTCATACCAAATCTGAGTACAGATGATTTTTGTTAAGGGCCTTAGCACACTCCTGCCCAAGATTGGGAGAGCCAGAAAGAGACCAACAATTGACAGGGACTTCATTTCCTTTCTCCTCCTCACCATTGTTATTTGTCTAGGGCTTTAATTGGCATTAAAATATATGTGACAAGTAAGTAAGGTATGTTTTATTTTTAAGCTCTGCTTCTGAAATTTCAGTCACATGCAAAGTTGAGAGCAAATTCCCAGAAGTGTCACAGATTAGCACTGTGTTTTCTTCATAAACCTATGCCCTTCGCTGACTTCTTGTCCTGTCGTAGGAATAGTCCCAGCAACCAAGGACATTCCTGTTCATTAGCATGCAAGAAAAAAATTAAATAAATAGCATGATAGCCATTATATGTTTACAAAAGAATAATATTTCCCTGAAGAAATGGATACTTCCTCCTGAAAATCATTAGTGTTTAAAGGGAAGGGGACAGTGATTCCTAGATGTGAATTTTTCTTATTGGGTTCTAATATTTCAAAATAAGAAATGGAATGATGGGAATTTTACTAATGTAACTGGTAAATATAGAGAAAATATTCAATAAGTACCCAACATAGTAGCAAGGTATTGTGAGAAATGCTTTGACAGTTGGATACAAAGGGATGTAAGCATGCTTTGCACCAACGCTGTGAATGCAACAACCATGACTTCTCTCTTTTTCCCCTTTGCCTAGTGCTTTGCTATTTCTTCCTTTCCCTGCTGGAATGCCTCCTTTATCTTTCCTAATGAAACTGGCCAAATATTTCTTCCCTCCATGGAATTCCTACCCCCATAACATAACCTGCTTGACCAATTCCTAGATGATGGTTATAAAAGGCAGAAATCAATTTTAGATTTTCATAACAAGTGAAAAACCACAGGAACAAAAAAGGGTGATGATAAAATAGCATAAGGTAATTTTTTGCTGGAAATGCCCTTTTTCTCTACAATAAAATTCTCCATATGCCCACTTGGCATTAAATTCTTTTCTTAGCCATTACAATTTACTCCCTTTGTCCCAAGTATCATGGGGGAAGATATAGGTAGTAGTTATTGGCTGCTTGCTCTGTGTCAAGCACTCTATTAGGCACTTGCCATGAATGATCACCAACCTAACCCTCTATTATAAATAATTGTTCGGATAATTATGCCCACCTCCCTCATGAGGAAGCAGAAGGCTGCTCAAGGTCACCCAGCTAGTAAGTACCAGAGCCAGGATTTATATTCAGTCTTTTCCCTCTGTGCTGTGTGACCTCAAGTTTATTAATAATTAATACTAACACTAGTTTGTTTTGATTGTTAATACTTGATATATGTAAACATAAAGAATGTTCCTAGTATATGAGTAAGAACTAGATTTATTTTACCTAGTCTTAAAAAATACCTTGTTCATTTTACTAAAAAAAAAAAAAAAAACACCAACAACTCTTCCTAGGACATTGTAAAAATCTCTTAGAATAGTTCTTATCTGTTCAATAGGAAGTAATGACATATGGACTTATGTTTATGATTTGCCATCTGATATTAAGGGCTGCAAATTCTTTCTGCTTTGTGTGTAACTTGCCTTTCTCTTTGTTGTTGTAGTACTGGCTACCAGTTTATTTACTATTCACCTGAAAACACAGCCAAAGCAAAGGAAGTTCTCAGCAACATCAATCAACTACAACCTCTGATAGCAACCCATGCAGACCTACTGCTTAATTCTGCAAGCCAGCATTCTCCAGACAGCTTGAAGAATTCTTTAAAGATGCTTTCAGAAAAAGTAAGACCCAAATCATTCCTACAGTGGGGAAAATGAAATACCCCAATCCACATGGGTGTTGCTTTATGCATACATTGCCTTTCCTAGCACCTGGAAATGTAAAATAGACTAAGTTAAAAAGTAAGCTTCAGAGTATTGCCACAGGATCAAACTGAATTGGCCTCATTCTCTTTTCAAATCTTAACTGAGCACTGATTTTTTTTTTTCCTTGTAGGAAATGAAACCTGTTATTGGTTGGTATATATTTTTTTCTTTTCCTTGACAGCCTTCATTTTTTTTGGCTCATGGCCTTGTCAAATAAATTAGATTTTGAAAGTTATTTTCCTCTGGTGATCACCTAAATTATATGCATATGAAGCTATACATTTAAATGGGAATTCACTTCATTTGAAAACAGGACTTGGATGTGAATTCTTATCAGTGACATGGGGTAATTTCTCTGCCTGATTCACTTTCAACATTATCTACTGGGAAAAGGTTCTAAAATTTTCCCAAAATATTAGTTATTGTTTGAAATGTTAGTGGGACGTAAGCCTTCATTTTTCTAAGGGTGACTTGAACCTTATATGCAGAGAGGACAGGTAGCCTGGCAAAGGTAGGTACTACATCAATTCCATAACTAATTAGGGCAACTAAATGACACAGAGAGAACCAAGGTAGAAAAAGACAAATTGCAGTTTGATTTTAAATATAAAACCAGGTGTCCTGGTGTCCAATTCCAATACAATTATCCTTAACCTCTGCATTCTGAGGACACCTTGCAATTTATTATGAGATCCTTTCAGTAAATATGTCCTTGAAGAAACTGACCAAAGAAAGTTCTCATGGTGTTATCCTATATAATAAAAACCTAATATGCTAAGTGTCGGACCATTCGTTCAACCATTTGACCAGTTGCTATGACGTGCACTGACCACCAGGGGGCAGATGCTCCAATTGGTAGGTTAGCTTGCTGCTGGGGTCTGGCCAATCGGGAGTGGGCGAGACAGGCTGGACATGCCCTGGAGCCCTCCTTGGTCCCTCCCCTTTCCCTGGCTAGATAATCTCTCAAGTTCCTCCTTGGCCTCTAAAATATTTCTTCTAATTAATTTCCTTTCAATGTGCATGAATCTTTGCACTGGGCCTCTAGTTTTAGAATAAAGTAACAGTGTAGTTTTTTGCAGCACTAAAGAACAGATTCATAGAAACCTGGATATGATAGGTGTATGTTTTTTATTCAGATATGCTAATTAATAATAATAATAATAATACTTTTTACTTATTTACATTTTAGTTTAAAGAGTACATTATTATGATTTTCTCATAGGATATAAATAATATCTATTTGTATTAAAAATTAGCTAATACCTGTTCAGAAAGGTCAAGTGAATTGTCTAATTAATTAAAAAGTTAAAAAGTCAAAGCCCAAGACTTCCAGTTCGAACTGCAGCATTCCTTCTATGTCAGATCAGGTGCCTCCATCATGACAAGGGAGGGAAAAACTGACCCAAATTTTACAGGTACCGACTTCGCCAAATCCTGTGCTAGGGGCTTCATGACTGGTGTTATTTTACTTTACCTTGAAATGGTGGGTACATATCGATTGTCTAGCTCACTTCCAGAGGCAGTTTCCAGGCCATAGCACAAAAAGGGAAAAACCAGGGAGGGAGGAAACTTTCCGGTATCTTCTATGTAATATATGCATTTTGATTTTTACATTTTTAAAATTACAAAGAGAATTTTAGACAAACTCATCAGCAATGCTTAACTATTCTGATCGTCAATAAATATATCTAATTATCAAGAAATATATTATGGCCAGGGAAAAGGGAAGCGGGGGAGAGGAAAGTGTTATACACAGTACAATAAGGTAATTTCATTTTGGTTCAGTTCCTTTTGGAATTTCTGGACAGAGGTGAGGCTTCTTGGATTCACCTAAGCGGAAATGTTAGTAGGTAGCACCTCACTGCAGTGATCACAGAGCAGTATTTATGTTCTTCCTGTGCGTTGGACAGGGGCTTGTCATTTCACACCTCGTTTACAACTAGCTGCAGTGACTTGGGTGGGGTGACAGGGCACGTATTTTCTCCTCCTTTATATCAGCATCGCTCCAACTTTTCCCCCCATATTTTTATTTTTAACTGAGTAGACATGCTTCATCTACTAATAAATCTGTCAGCCTTTGAAACCAGGAGGTTCTTTTTAGGTTTGCAAGCCATGCATTTTCATTTTAAGAATGTGTTGCTGGAAGTTCAAATAATTATCCCAGTTAACAGAGTTTTGCATAGTCTCTGAAGACAATGTGTAACTTATGATTTAAAACAAAGTATGATTCATTTCTACCTAGCCATGCTGCTGGTGGTTCAGACTCCATGCCCCAAGAATGGTCTTCTATTTTTTAATTAATTGATTGAATTTGCTACTAATGACTTAATGGACACTTTTGCAAGTTCGAGCGAAAAGGGTTTGTTTTTTTGTTTGTTTGTTTGATTTTTGTTTTTTAAAGCAGGCTTGCAGAACTTTCCATTTCAGGGTGACTTCCTCTGTCCTGCTGTGCCTGTGGTGTGGGGGCAAGATGGCAGACTCTGATTTCTGCCACTCTAGGAAGGCCCTGTAGCAGGCAAACCTTGATCAGCTGTCCGTGTGGGTCAGCAGTTTCAGCATCAGCAAGGAAGCAGGCAGTTGGAAAGGAGATAAAATCTCTGTGTGTTTTTTCTAATTATGGGTCGAAATTTTCTGCTTCGTTGTATGCTTGGTATAGTCTATGGAATAACAGGAATTTTGTATTTTACATTCTTGGTTGCTGGATTTTATTGTATTCCTTAAATAATGTTGGATTTTGTGCTAGTATGAAGTTAAGTTATTAGCAATCAGTAAGATCCTTTCAAGCCTTGTTTGTAAGCCCCGTTAGAGCAGGATCCAGAGCAGCCTTTAACCTAAGACTAATTTAGCCCCACTGTTTGGGCCATACCCTTCTGAGGGCTCTACACAGTGCCCTATGTATTACAAAGCCCACTCTGCTGGGGGGAAGATGAGCTATTCTAAGCCCTTATGACCCTGGATCCTCACACATGCAGATCAGTACTCAGGTAAAGATTTAAAAGCATCAATTTACAGATCATCAGGGCTCTTTCTGTGGGCAGTTCCCTCCTTTCTGGTACTCTGTGAATTCTAACTAACCACTTCAGCTTTTCCAAGCTCTAATCTCTGTTTCCTCAGTTTGAGAAGTTCATTTGTGGCTTCTTCCTCCTTGTGCCATAGCCTGGAAACTGCCTCTGGAAGTAAGCTAGATAGTTAGAAGGATCATATAGTTTATCTCTCTATGCTGCCTATATTCCAATGCCCTATAAAATAATTAAAGCATATCAAATTTAAAAACAAACAGGATTCTTTCTTGCCATATACATGACAACTAAAATTATGGTCACTTGTTTATTCCTTTGGCTAATTCCGTATTGCAGATGGAATTTTTTCAGTGACAATAAGGTCATTCCAAATAGAAGGGGACTTTGATTAATTTGTTGAAATTTCTAGTTAAAAAGAGTCATTTTAAATGAACATATCCTAACTATTTCTCTGCCACTGATAGTCAGGAAACTAGGAAATTTATTTCCAGGGGAAATAATTTTTTAGTACTTTTATACTTGCTGATAATTCAAGTTACTTTGAAAATATATATGAGAATATGAATTGGAGAAATGTCAGTAAGGCAGAAAAACATTTCATTTTCAGATAACATTTCTCTCTTTAAAATATCAAACAAATGAAATGGGTCGCCTTTGCTTAAGTTTATGCTTTTTTAGTATATTATTGAACTGATACTTTAAAAGAATTGTTTTGCCTACCCTTATGATAACACGTAGACAACCTTTCTTTTTTAACTTAATGTCATGTGAGCTGAGTCAGAAAAGAAAATAGCTTATCAGAACTCCAAGGCAACAGGCAACTCCGAGACATGGTCACACTCTAGCCATGGCTTTTAGCTTCCCTAGTATCTTCTCAGTTGCAAGAACAACAAAATACAAGCGTGTTGGAATTCTGTGGACTATATTAATCTCTATAGGCTTATTTATTTGACTGTAAAATATCAGGATCTTCATTGGTCTATACTAAGTAATGCTGCTCAAGAAAATTAAGATTTGTTTCCAGATCAGGTGAATAGATTATTTTCTATTTTCTAACAGAATGTGATTCTACAGACAGGATTTTGAGAGTTTCCAAGGAGTCAGATAAGTTTTTCAAATAAACACAAAGTAAAAGATCAGCTATTATTGTGTTCTCTTAATATTTTGTGTATTATATTATATTACAACCCAAAATTTCTGAGTTGTAAAACTATAAGAATCTACTGTATTATCTCCTAGAACTTGGTGATAAATCAAGCCAAATGAGATTTGAATAAATGAAGTGTGTGCATGCTATGGGAAGAAAATGATTGCAATGATAAGAACCATATAAGATTTCATTGCATGTGAATAGATATTTAGCTACACGGTAATTATGTGAGTGGTATAGGACTAGAGATGTAGTAGCAGGAATTCAAAGAAGGCAAGCTGTTTTGCTCTAAAATAAATCAAAAGTTGCTATTGAAATTATCAACAGAGAAATAGTCTAGTTAAGTTGAATGGAAATAAATTCACATTTTTAATACTTAAATTAACATTGATAGACATATTTTTTCTATATGGAAAATTATGTAAACAACATATTTCCCCATTTTGCTATAACTATACTGGTTTGAATACTGTCAAGCCAATTTTTTTTACGTGTTATTTTTTAATTAAAAAGGTGCTTTTTGTTTTGATTTCCTAGTTTATTATAAAAATATTTTCCAATCTCTTATTCTTACATCATCTTTTTCCATATTTCTTGTCTAATTCCATTTAAAGTGCCTCTAGATTAAAAGAGTGTTTAAAACATCCAATAAAGTTCAGCAGTAAAGATAGTTACATGGGCAATTGTGGACACAATTAATTCTGAGAGCTGGTAGCTGTTCACAACACTTTGGGAGTTGGAGTTTGGGAAGAAGGGGAAGGACAGAAACCTCCAGTTGCAGTGGCTGGGTGGTGGTGTGGAGTAAGGGGAAAAGCTACTGAATTTGTCAGAAAACGGGATCGGTTCCATCTGTGCTGCTAAGACACAGTCTGCCTTGGACAGGTCACCACACTGGTTTCTTAGTTTCCTTATCTGGTTAATGAAGAGGTCCACTTTCAAGTCCATTTCAGTTCTAGAATTTCATGGTCTATTGTAAAGAAGTGCTATACAGATATGACATCATCTTACTAGGCCCCTGATTTTCTTTAATTGCATGGACACAACAGAAGACAGAGACAATGTAGTAACCACCAGTCAGACATGGCAGTGTTGACTGCACCATGAGAGAGCACAATAAACAGGTACCCAGACTTACAGCTCTAGTGCAGTCAGCATTGTAGTCAAGAGTCACATTAAATGGTAATTATATCAACTGTTATTGAAAATAATGCTATGACTTAAAGGACCCCTTCCTAAGAGATTACAAAGGATAAATATGATAACAATATGGGTCAGTGCGTGAGTGACTTCTCCACTCTTTGAACAGATTGTGAGCCCATGTGCATGCTAAGTGTACTATGACACAGAAAATCAATCACTGCCCCTCCAGTATATTACGGGGTGAAGCTATTAAACATTTCATTGGGAAATTGAGAAGTACAGCTGTGAAGTTCTTTATTGCTGGGAAGCTGTCATTATTCGAGTGCTCACTAGGTTATTTACCACCAGCCTGTAAAATCCTCCATGGTAGGTTTTATAGTAACCTCGCTAACCTCAAGCACTACCAAAACCATTTGGTGGAGGAGACAATTAGGAGATGATAATAAGGAAAAAAACCAAATGTTTTCATGGGAAGACTGCTTATTCATCTCTACTGTTGAAATTAGTAAAAACCAAGTCTCCTGCCTCTAAAAGACATGTCTTTCTTTAGCCTTTAACACTGTTTAAAATGTAGATTATCTATAATCTGATGATATTTTCCATTAAACTCCATTTGGAATTACTTGAAAGGTAGATGGTTTTCGAATGATTATTCCCAGTGAAATCCATCTCCAAAGATAGAATGTGGGACTAAAAGTGAGGGGCTGAGGCGACAGATGGTGCTGATAGCGCACATGGAACCTCGGCATTGACTTGTAGAGCAGTAGGACTCAAGGCCTTGGCAACATCCCCAAACCAAACTATGTTCCATTGATTGGTATGAATCATTTTCTCTTAAGTGCCAACAAATCTGCAGTTGACCTTTTCATAGCTCTATGCTGAGATGCCTACCATGGTATTTCTAATCCTTGTCAATTTCTTTCCAGACAGAGCTTTTTGTTCATGCTTTTAAGGATCAGCTGGTCAGAAGCGCTCTGTTAGCACTTTACACTGCCAGGCCAGGAGGCATCCTTAAAAAGCCACCCTCGCCTAAGAGCAGCACCAACGAGGAGAGCAGTCCCCAGGATCTACCCCTACCAATGAGAAGGCAGGATTCCATTCCCCATCATTCAGACTACGATGAGGAAGAGTGGGTAAGTCTCTTACACATCACTTCTTTCCCAGTGTTCAGTCCTGAGACATTAAGTCAGCATAAGAAGAAATCTCTGCTTTTTATCCAAGCAAGGCAGAAAGCAGTCACGATACATATTGTGGGTGAATCTGTCTCATTTTTACTTCAGGGCAAATTATGAATGGAAGTTTTATTCCTAGATCACATTTATTTGACATAAAAATGTATTTGCTGTCAAATAAATCATATATATACAACCAAGAAAATGTCATCAGAGCAAAGATGCCACAATTGCTAGGTTCTCTAACACCTTTCCTTATTTATTGCCAAGGTAATATAAACCATTACAATTGTGCTTTAGAAAAAGAGTCTGAAATTATCTATAATGCACTACTTGGATGCAACAAGTATTTTCATTGTTGTAACCCAAATGGCAGTGGATATAAAGATCTCTTAAATCCCTCTCCTCATGGCTCTATGATGAAGAAGATGTTCCTCTAGGTGTCCTAAAATTAGCAGAAGGATGGCCACATAAAGCATCTGAAAAAAGTAAAGCCAGGTGCCCTCGCCAGTGTGGCTCAGTTGGTTGAGCATCATCCCATGCACCAGAAGGTCGCTGGTTCAATTCCTGGGCAGGGCACATACCCTGGTTTCTGCCTCTATCTCCAGTAGGGGACATGGAGGAGGCAGTTGATCAATGTTTCTCTCTTGCAGTGATGTTTCTCTTTCCCCCCACTTCCTACCTCTCTATCTCTCTAAAAAAAAATCAATAAAAACATACTATTTTTTAAAAAAGGTAAAGCCAAGTAGACAAAAGAAGCCAGTGTGGATGGGAACTCTAGTTGGCAGATAAGACAGGAGAAACATGAAGGTGCTGGGTGAGGGAGACCAGTGTGTGTTATTCCTGAATTAACCCATTAATTTTCTAAGACCCCTCCAAATTATATGCCCACATGGAAGGAAACTCTTTACTGTAGCATATGTTTAAACAAGAAAAGAGTATGCTAGCTGTATTAGATGTTAAACAGTTAATAATTACTATTCCTGCTACCCCAAATTTAAAAGTGTTCAGGGAGTAAATTATTAGAAAGGCCCAGATCTCTCAAAAAATTGCTGCCTCAAGTGCTGTGAAGTGATGGCTGCTCTTTCTTCTGATAAAATTTCTATCACAGGAAAAACAGAGCTGGGTTCCAAGAGGTAAATGCTGAATAAGTATTTGTTGTTGCTGATTAAGATTGCATTCCTCCCACGGAAGCATTTTCAAAAGAGCAAATCTAGTATTTCTGCCTTTTACCTCTCCTTTTCCTTCAATTTATTGAGAGCTCCAAGGCACTTGCCCCTCTTAACCTCTCTGAAGTTCGATTTTCTCAACTGCAAGCACCTGTTTGGCTTAGGGTGGTCATGAGATAAACGATTTACCTGTGTGATAGCGCTCCATTACCTGGAAAGGCCAAGGTATTGGATGACTTTAGAATTTTTTCTATGTTTTCATTTATAGCATACGTAAATTAAATAATCTGATTATGAGGATCAGTGCTATTCCTTGTGATAAAAGAGAAAACTCCATATTATAAACAGCTCTGTCAAAAATGCATATTATGAACTTTAAGAGTTTGGGTAGATACAGAAAAGAACTTAAGCTTTTCATAAATAATTACCATTTTATGTAAACTCAAGTGAGAATTTTGGGGTATCATTGGTTTTTATAATTTTCACCTCACTGTGTTATGCTAATCCTCCCTCATATCTCACCTTCCTCCTACTACACAAAAATGTCCCTCTTCTGCCTCCCTCCTTATTTCCTTTACTTTACATAACTTTTGGGACTTTCTAAATCGTAGCTGTTCCAAATTGGAAGGTAAGTATTAGGTCCTCAGAGTCTAGTGGTAGATAAAAACATGTTAACCAAGAGTGACAAAAGGTTATGACAAAGGTTGGAGAGAGACAGATGGTAGAACGTTGGCTTCATTAATGTGATTTCAACTCAACATTTGATACACAGAACCTTCTTATGACAGGCAAAGATAGAAGAGAGTGAGACACATACAGTGAGGTGAGGAGGTGTCCAGTGAACCATTCAGTTCAGTGGGGTCACTGAGCAGCTGTTCTGCCTGGTGCATTCCTTCTGAGGGCAGTGGAAAAAGGAGCTTTTCCGGGCCTTGGCTTGTAGGTGGTCATCTTCATGTTCTCATGACGTTCTTCTGGGGTACTACTCTATCCCCAAATTCTCCTTTTCATAAGGACTCTTCATCTCTGGATCCCATTGTTACTAGAAAGTATATAAAACGTTGTCTAAATTTACCATAATTACAAGGGAAATATTTCCCACTCAGAGAAGTTACTTCTAACTCTCTCCTCCCAAAATAATTTTACTCTATTTTCCAGCAATAACAGAATTTGATTGTTAGATAGATTATTGTTGTTAACCACTTTCTTTTAAAAAAAAATTCTTTGTCAAGACATGAAAATTCTTTTAAAAAAAGAAACAGAAAAAAATTCACCAAAGCTATAACCATTTACCATTATTTCCAAAGCTTTAACTAACTTTGAAAAGTTTTATAAATTCAAAGAAAATATAGCTAATTGAAAATGCCTTTACAGATTGTGCTAATAAATGAATTGGAAACAAGTCTGTGTACCACTTTTCTAGCTAATTAGGTATTAGAAAAGTTTCAGCACTGATTACAAGTCTAGTCAACTTCCTGAATTAATTCAATGTTTTAAATAAATTTAATTGGTTTTCTGTGTTATCATATGAAAATATTCTCTGATCACTTACATTGGTTTAGGTTTAGACATAAGATCACAGTAGCTCCATTTTTAAAAATCTATTTGTTCTATTTAATTTCCTATAGTGACTGTAGTTTTCACAGTTGCCTAACATGAACAACTGCATGGAGCTTCTTACAATAAATATTTTGAAAGTGAATGCATGTTAGTAAATAACTTCTGAATACTCTGCTGACACATGCAGAATCTTTCTTTTTGAGGTCGTGAGAAAGAATCTTTATTGATTTTTAAATCAGAGTGAGTCTGCCTCTTTTCAACTTGTTTTGTTAGCAAAATTGGTGACATGAATCTATATAATCATTATCTAATCAATATGGAAGAGATTGAAACTAAAATGATCACTGATCAAAAAAAGTCTGTTATTTGCATAATTTTACTTATTAATGATTGAGTGCTTTGGAGGTTGAGTTCTTGAAAAGTTGGTAAACAATTAAATTCCAAAGGAATATTGAGATTTTTTGACAATCTGTGCAAATAGGCTAATATAGCATTCTTCATCTTTTAGCTGGTAAAGATGACATACTGCTTGTCTTCCTCTACATTTCTACAACAGATGCTTCCAACAGCTGGGATTCCAAGATTAGTTTGTCCAAAATATGAAAGCATGTCATCCAACCAAAGGATTAAGTTGACCCAGTTTTGTAGTTTTCAGTAATTATACTATTCTCCTTAACACTGTGATTTAATGTCAACATTAGTACACTGATGGGTTTGGGCTGAAGTCTGCCTACCTTCATTTAAAAAATTGTTTTATAAAAAGGTGAACTCCTGAACCTTTATATTCTGATACATTCTAGCAAAGAGAAGAATAGGAAAACTATTATTATTTATCCCAAACCTACTTTTTAGCTGAACTACATTTCTGTATCAGACATTGCAGCATTCAAATTACCTAATTAATTCCCTCTTCATGTTGTAAATGTAAATCAAATATTAGATTTTAGTTACATTCTTAAGTTAAGAGAACATTTGCTATGCCTTATTAAGGTAAAATGTGTTTATGTCACATGAACACAATAGATGATCCACATTAATCCGTAATAACTTTTTAAGAATTTTATAGATCATAGAAACAATAGCACAGATGCACAGTAATATCTATGCCAGTCATCCTGATAATAAAGTCCATTTATATCCTGAAAAAAAAATGAGATTTCTCTGTAACTCAATATTCGCAAAGATTGCATTTTGGAATAAGATTTACACAAACCAGTTTCTAATATATTATCAACATCTCACAGTTTATTTGGTATTGCGCCTTTCTCTAATGATGTCTAGAACAAACATGAATGCCTAATCTTAACAGAAGTATTAATAGAGCAGTTTATATTACCATAATTGGTAGCCATGATCACAGATAGTTTCAAAATATTACTAACTGTTGAGGACAAACATATTTTTGCCAGATAACCCTATAAGCAATCTTCAGTGATGTGTATTCTCAGCATCTCTTGCAGGTTTCTGTCTTCATCTTAGACTTTACCTCTAGGGAAAATCATTCAGGCCATGAATAACATAGAGATACCTATGCAAATTGATTTTCAAAAGAGAATCTGTTCAGTTTTCTGACTAGCTACAATTATGCTTTGTGAAACCATTGACCTTATCTTAATAAGAAGGAAATCTATCATTCTCAATTTTTAGAGGTAATTAATTTTTATGGACAACTAGATACCAACCTGTGATTTGACTTTTCTCAAGTGACACCTTATAGTTTAGTAATCAAAATGAGTAAAATGTTCACTAAAATATGGCCAATTATTTCCAAATTTTATGTAATAGGCAGACAGACAGATATATAGTATGTGTGTGTGTATGCATTCAACTCCAAAACACTTTGTATAATAAAGCATTATTCTTATCCCATGATCACTCAGCCTCGTTAACAATGATTTATAACCAGTCTGTTTCTACCTTGTGTTCTTGAACTTTATAAGCTCCTAAAGGACAAAGACAGTGTCATGTTCACTGTTGTATCGCTGCAGTTAGCAGAACATCTGCACCTAAAAAGGTGCTGGATACTCATTTGTAGAGTAAATTAATGAATGAAATTTGCCCTCAAAATACCATTCTTGTTCACCTTTTTATTTTGAAACACAGAGTATTTCTATTTAAGATAACTGCACTATGTCAGGCACGCCCCCCACCCTCCCCCACACACACAGGGAATTCATGAATTATTTTAAGGATTTTATTTCTCTGTTCCAGTCAAAATACCTAGTTATAGCCTCT